TATTTATACTTTCTCATTATTAGAATTAACCAATAAGGAATTTTAATATGTGTTACTTCATACTTTTGATTCAGCTACAATGGCTTTTGAATTGGTTACAATGGTTGTTTCAGTTCTCACAAGCCAAAAAAAAGCTGCCAGAGTACCAGAATGAAGAATAATTTTTTAGTTGGAAAGTCTGGAAAAATGATGTCTGTTATGCTTCTTCTCAGGATTGATGTTTTGAAGCACCTGACCACAAGACACTCATTAAAGCTATCAAGATAGATAAGTTCATAAAAGAAGACAATGACATTATATTAAAGGAAGACAATGACATTGCTTTTATTAGAGAACAGATAAAAGATCACATGATACACAAAGATCTGGACAAAGTCAGAGCTGCCTATTCAAAGCAAAAAGAAAAGAGAGACCTGGAAAGAGAGACTAATAGAATATTTTCTACTGTAGATGCTCAGGATTCTGTACTTAATACTTCAAATTCATCTGACACACTCAGTTCAAGTGGCAGTGAATAAACCTTTTTTTAAAATTGCTTCATAAACAATAGCATTCCATTGATACTGGAAGTTGCCAGCTAAATAGATATTTAATAAAATCTGTTTGTGGAACTTGGCTAGAAGTTCAAGCCATTAAAGCTAAGAACTAACTTATTGAGATAGTAAAAATCAAAGCTTTTAAAAACTCAGAAGTTAGTTTTAAAATATTTGAAGTACACATTTATTAAAACTCTATATATAATATTTTTCGTAGCATTTTTTTAAATTGCGTTTAGATCTAGATTTAGGAAACATTCAATAAACATATAATAAAATTGTAGAATGGTAAGAAGAGAGATGACTATCATATATTTTTCTTTATCAGGACTTGAATTTAGAAGATGTCTAGGTATGCTGAGGATGAACCTGCTGCAAGTGCAGTGTTTAAATCATGGGAAAACCATAGCTGGTACCTGGATCCAACTGTTGTTCCTATTGTGCTGGCAAATTCAGACGGTTCAATCACTGAACAAAAAAAGGAGAGAATTGTCGAAAAGCTTTATACCAAATGACTAGACATGGATAGACATAACAATAAAGGTTCTTACCTGAAATAAAAAACATGTTTGTACTTGACAAGCAGCCAGAACTGGTTGACTTCATCACTGCTGAATCGTGTGCTAATTTTTGAGATTTTAGGCCATGACAAAATCAAGTCCAAATGGATGATTTATCCAACTAGCTCCTGGAATATCAATTCTGATTATTTAGAGGTCCAGTCGTATGTCAAACACTGTCGTCAATGATTTTAGTGAAAGGGCTGTAAAGCTGGTACAGGAAACAGTGTGTCAAGTTACATCTGAGCATAAGCTGCAAAAGTTGCTCAAATTTAAAAACAACTAGACCATGCAATCCTCAAAGACCAAAGCTGCCTACCTTAAATCAGCTTTGCAGAAATGCAGAAAACACCAGCTCAGCTTTTGAAAGAGTTCCTTAACATAGAAGATGTAAATGTATTCAGCTCCTGTGAAATGGACACTGAATCAGATAACAGCACTGATTTACTTCCTGATGCTGATGCTTTTGAACAACTGTTTTGTGACCATGAGGCTGCTAATGACAGCTAGTTAATTTTTTTTGTTGATTTTTGTAATTTTTGTTTAATAACTTCTTACCATTATTTGTTTATTATAGTATTTAAAAGAAATTGATGGGTGTGGGCTCCCCCCTCCTTTTTTTTTTTTTTCTTTTAAGGCGGGTTACCAAAATACACTGTTGATTATTATGTTTCTATGAAGAATTTAGGCATACATAAAAGAATCAGAGTTCTATCTTCATTAAAAGACCCAGAAAAACCTGGGTTTCTTTGATTGATTGGTTGCAACAGGTAAAATAGGTCAACATTGGTTTTAGGTCTAACGCTAATCATAGAAGTTAACCTATAATGATAATTTTTGGTATATATCTTTTAAATAACAGAAACATTCATTTGTTAAAATAGTATCCAGCTTTTTTATTTTTTTCCCAGTATACTATTCAATTTATAAAAAAAACAGTTTTTTAAGAAAGCTTGACGAGGCCAGCGTGAGGTAAATAAATAATTAAAGAAAAAAAAACAGTTTTTCATTTCTTTATTATAGTCCGCAAAAAAATTGCCTATTTGTAAGTGAAATTTTTTCATGACCAAACTTTTGAACACTCCTAATATAAGTATACATATATATATATATATATATATATATATATATATATATATATATATATATATATATATATATATATATATATATATATATATATATATATATATATATATATATATATATATATATATATATGGGTAATTCTGCAAGAAAGAGAAGGAAAAAAAAAGTTAGGAAAGCACATGCTAACCTCAATAAATTATTTTTTTAAGAATACTTTCAAGCCTAAAAATGATTAAAAAAATCATTTTATCATACCATAGCATTGTTTTAAAGTTGTAAGGGTTATATAAACAATTTTTAACGTTTTTATAAAGTCCTGCTGCGTTTTTATGTAACTATTACTTTTAAGTTTAACTTAAAGACAATATTAAACATGTAGAATATTATTTATAAATATATATTATTTATATTTATCAAACTAATGCGTTACCACCGTCACGAAAAAAAGTCAAGAAGTTTTTTCTAGGCTTCGTATCAGACCTTATAAAGCTAAAAGTATAGTAAAAGTAAAGATACTGATATAAGTTTTATCATTGTTTTACTTTTTTAAAAGATTTAGAATATAGTATTAAGATTTAACAAAGTACGTTACTACCATCAGGCTATGTTTGTTTTTCCATAACGGCTTCTTGACATCTATATAAAAAGTTTCAGCGCAAATTTATTATTGAAACCAAGTTAAAAATTATTTGCAGTTTGTTTATTCATAATATTGCTAAGCTTGTTAAAGTAATTTAGAATAATTTAAAATTAGAAATTATTTCTTTTTTAAAATATAAATCACTTATTTAAAATAATTGATATAAATAAATGAATATTTGTTGAGAAATAAAAACTTTTAACATAAAGAAAATTTTTTTTCGTTAAAACGTTATTTATAGTTTGCATTGCAATGTTTATGTTCATCGATTTTGCGTTTTTTTTTATTATAAATTTTGCCTTTTTTTTAAAAATCATAACAGAACGTTAATCTCAAAAGTTATATTTAATAACATTTTTTAAATGCCTAAATCAGATGCTGAAAGATCAAAAGCTTATTGAGCAAGAAACAAAAAAGCGTTGTTGGAAAAAGAAATAAGGGAAGTTATTAAAGAAGACAGTTATCAAAGAACATAAAAGAAATGAAAACAAGCTAAAAAATCAAGTGAAAGTTGGCAACCAAAGCTTGAAAACAATATTGAAATCTTTTTAAAAATTTTTACTTTGAAAGAATTATTTTTTAAACTTATGTTGGGAACAGGGAGCATTAACCATTTAAAATTTAGTAAAGTATTAAAGTATATATAAATATAGCCTGCCTTTCGTTACCAATTTTAAATTTAACGAACACAGTGTTAAGAAACCATAATTAAGAACTTTGATAATGTTATTAAGTTTATACTTTTACATAGTTGACAAGGGTTGTATGATTATTCACCTAATTTTTTTTGATTGCATCGTTACGACCATCACTTTTATGATCGTCATGACAAAAAAAACATAGAAATGCTTATAAAGCATCAAGTAAAAACTATGAAACTCAGCATATAAGATTATTATGTACTAATAAAAATTATGTACTAATAAAAAATACACAGACCAAATGATTTTTTTGTTACCATGCCGTTCGCTGCAATTATTCTGACAAAGCTGTTTTGTTTAGAAGTGGTAAAAAGTAAACGTTTTGACCGTCACGCTACGCGGCGTTAATTTTTGAAAAAAGTATAAAACTTCAATACTGTAACTTTAGCATACTAGATTATGCAAAAGTGTTTTGCATTTCTGAGAAGTTTTAAGTCATTTCCATTTTTGGTTCATTTTTAATAGTTTAAATAACGTCAAATGTTACGACTGCCAGTCTCGCGTAATTGCCCATATATGTATATACATATATATATATATATATATATATATATATATATATATATATATATATATATATATATATATATATATACATATATATATATATATATATATATATATATATATATATATATATATATATATATATATATATATATATATATATATATATATATATAAGGCTTGGACAGGAATGGCGTGTGATCGACCGCTATTGCTGACCAGGCAAATGATTTTATTTCTTGACAACTTGACCACGATTGTATATATGTTTTGATGATTTAAACATTTCAGAATTGCGCTGAATGTAGTAACTTTAAGCTAAACTTAAGCTAGGAAAAAAGTTAAAAAAAAAATTCCTAAAGAAAAAAGAAACGAAAAAAATTCTTTACAAAAAAGAAATTATATAAGCACTATAATAAAAATAAAAGATAAAAACTTAAATTCAAGCGAAACTTTTTTTTTCGTTTTTAAGTGCATTTGAAATAAATCTTTTTAAACTCTTTATTAAAGTTATGCAAAATGCTTTTAAATTATCAAATTACTACTAACGATTGTTTAATAAGTTAACAATTTTTA